TGGATCCATTTCCCCTTGGACCCCTTGCATTAACTATTATTATAAATTTACTCCGGCAAAAAAATTGAATCCACGAAACTTCCACGCCAAACAATTGGATCCAGAAGACACGGAAATTGGATCCACGTGACTTTCGCACACACGTAATTGGATCAAAATGGATCCTTGCGCTCCCACGCAAGAGGAAAAAACGCTCGGTCTGGGGATGAAGAGTTGTGCAACCCTTCTGCCCTTCAGCACAGGGGCGGTGGTGGCACAGTACACGTAGCATGCCGAACAGATTCTTGTAGATATCGCGTCCTCCTGCTTCGCTCGATGTTCTCAGTGGGTGTCAGTTCGAATAGGGGAGTCGGCGACAACGCTGCACGCGTTGGCGGGGGAGACGGGGGTGAAGAGTTTTGCACCCCTTTTCTGCCCGTCAGCACAGGGGCGGTGGTGGCACAGTACACGTAGTATGCCGCACAGATTATTGTAGGTATCGCGTCCTCGTGATTCGATCGATGTTCTCAGTGGGTGTCAGTTCGAATAGGGGAGTCGGCGACAACGCTGTACGTGTTGGCGGGGGAGACGGGGGTCAAAACCCCACTTGAGCAGGCCGAAAGTTTTCCTCTTGAGGCCCACATGACAAATGCGAAGTGTCGTCAACTTTAGCGGATGCGGACGCAGCGATCATATCGCGCTCGCGTCGAAGTGGGGTGCGGCATATGTTATGGGAGGCTGCGGGAGTTGGCCAGGCCCGCTGTGGCGCTCGAGCACCCACATGTTATGGAGGCTGCGGGAGTTGCCCGGGGCAGCTGTGGCACGTCCTCTCCCTCCTCTCCGTCCTTCCTCCCTCATCTTCCTCTTCGCCCGCCCCTGGTTTGTGTTTCCCTACTCGTCCCCGTGTGTTGTGTCTCTCGGTAGGAAAACCCCTCCCCAATAGAATCATAGCTTGGGCTGCAGGTCCAAGGCTCCGTGGATCCGTTTCCCCTTGGGTCCCTTGTATTAACTGTTACTATATATATATAGAGAGAGATTCCAGCAAAAGAATTTAATATACGAAGCTTCCACGCCAAACAATTGGATCCAGAAGACACGGAAATTGGATCCGCGTGACTTTCGCACACACGTAATTGGATCAAAATCGATCCTTGCGCTCCCATGCAAGAGTAAAACACTTTCGGCCTGGGGATGTATATGCAATCGTATATGTATACATACATATATATATATATATACATGCATAACTATAACATGCATACCTAGGCGCATGCACCTATAGATGCATACATGCATATATACATGCATGCGCACATGCATGCATGCATGCATACATACATGCATGCATGCATGCATACATGCATACATACATACATACGTACATGCATGCAGACAGACATGCATGTATACATACACATATGCATGCATGCATGCATGTCCATATACATGTATATATATATATATATATATATATGCATACAGACATACATACATACGTACATGCATGCATGCATGCATGCCTACCTGCCTACCTACCTACATACCTACCAACCTACCTACCTACCTACCTACCTACCTACCTACCTACCTAGCTACCTACATACATACATACATACATACATACAGGCATGCATATAGTTATATCTTGGCACTCCTCGACCCTCCTAACGGTAGTCCTTCTCCTCTCCTCCTCCTCTTCCTCCTTGGCCCGTCTCTAGCGATTATTGTGCATAGGAGACCCTCGAACATCCTCGACCTGCTCTCCTACCCCTCGCCTCCCCCGCCAGACCTCTCGCCGCACGTGATCATGTCAAACGTCGCCTTGACGTCGGCGCCGAACCGGGGGTGCCACGGGCCCATCGAAGATCTGCCTGCTCTGTGCGGGAATGGGGAAGGAGCAGTGGGGCAAGGGGGAAAGAGGATAGCAAGAAGGAGCAGGAGGAGGCGCAGCAGCAGAAGGGAGGAGTCAGGAGGGGTGGTAATCAGGATGGGGAGGAGGAAGGAGCGAAGAGGGAGGAGAAGATCGCAATTAGGAAGGGCTGGGGGGAAGAGACGAGGCGGAGGGGGAGGGGGAGGGGCGGGAGAAAGAGAGGAGGAGGAAGAGGAGGGCAAAGGGCACTTCCAGACCTCTGTGGCCCGAATCTCGGCCACGCGGCCAAAACTGCAACTGTCCGCATTTAGGGGTTGGATTTCGTGACCTATCCTCCCTCTCGTCGTTCCGACATATCCTCCCTCTCCTCCTCGTCCTCTTTCGCTGTTTAGCTGGATATTCCGTGACACGCACACACACACACACATACACACAAACACACACACAACATGGATGACGTTTATAGGAGGAGGTGGCGGCGGAGGCTTTGTGGAGGAGATGGGGATGGAGAGAGCGACGAACGCGAATGAATCACCAGCACCACGGGTTCGCCACGTTGGCCCCCTGCCTGCCCTCGGGGAAGGCCCCTTGCCACCACCCAGGCTCTGGGGCACCTCGCCCCGAAGCAACTCGTGAAGGCACGGGGCGTCATCACGCGGGCCCCACACGCCGGCACGCCGCCGCGGCCGCCGGCACCGCCACGAGGACGGCAGAGGGCTCGGGAGCGCGGCGGCAGCAGGCGGGCCGCACCCCGGCCTGGTGCCACCCCTGCGCCCGAGAGGGCTTCTATGCCCCTCCTCGCCCCGGTCGCCTCCCTTCCCCTTGCAAATGCCACATGCGAACCCTGCCCCGCCTCCCCCCCCCAGAAATCGTGGGTGGGTGGGGTAAGGTGCGCACGTGGCCTCCGAATGGCGTCCTCTACGCTCGAGAGGGTTTCTCTGCTCCTCCTCGCCCCCTTGCCTCCCTTCCCCCCTGCAGGGCGCGCACTCTGCCGGCGCCTGGGACATCGGTACAAACAGGCCCCGGGCCAATCCCGTCTTACGTTCCGATCGCCCTTCCTCTTCTGAGATCGCGAACGCCTCCACTGACGCAACGGCCATCCATCCAGTGCCTGCGCGATGGCAAGGGGTTGGCGGCGCGCACAAAGGGGGGTAAGGGGGGGGGAGGGCTTCTTAGAAGCCTTCCCCCCTCCCCCATACCCCCCTCCAGCGCGTGGCTGAAGAGGGCAACGGGCAAGGCGCAGCGCCGCGCCGTGGGGATCACCACGGCGCGGCAGGCAGGCTCGCGGCGGGCGCAGCGCCAAAGACGGGAAGAGAACCCGAGCAGCAAGGGGACACGCCCACGCTGCGCCGCGCTGTGCCGCGGCGTTGTGTGTGCGTCCTCGTCCTTGCTCCCCGCATCTTGCTGGATGCACTCCACCCTGGATGCAGCTGCACTTGCCGCACCTCCCGCGCACCCACCTGGGCGGCGCGTGGCCCGCCGGCCTTGCGTTCCGTGCTCCCCGTCGGCGCCGTGCGGTCTTGGCTTGCAGTATCCGCACTGGGCCCCGCTCAGCTGAAGCCCTGGCGCAGCAGCCGCCTCGGTCCCCGCCGGCGGGGCTGGCCGCGCCAGCACACCCAGGGAGTGATGCGTCCCCCCTGAATGGCCCTCTCTTTTCCTCCCCCCCTGCGGCCGCCCGTTCCGTCCCTCCTCCCCCTCCTGCATGCTGGCCAATTCGCTACAACGGCGCCCCCGTTTACATCCCGCGTAAGCAGTTGGCTTATTCCGCCAGCGCAGACGACCCCTGCCTAGCCGCCGACGCAAAAGAGTCTTTGTTCTTGTTCTTCAGGCTCGCCATTGGTGCAGCCCCTTGGCCACGCGCCCCCTCCCCTTGGCCTGCTGATGCTGGTCTCGATACCTCATGCTGCCGTGCGGGTATCGCCCACGGTAATGCGTGTACCCTCCTGGCTATCCACGCCCAGATGGTTGATGTCGGTAGGATCACATCCTAAGTGATGATTGAGGGTCCCGCCGCCGCGCGCACTGTCTGTTCACTTTCTCCGCCTCGTCGCCGCGCGACACCGCTATCGCCAAAAGTGTGTGTGTGTGTGTGATGAACACTTTGCTTTTCCCATGGTCGGGTTCCTACCGAAAACCATGCAAAGGCCCACCACCGCATTGAGGCCCAATGCGTCAACGCTCTGCTCTCAGCCTTCTCAGGGGAAATCGAAGCAAAAGCGAAGACTCTGGTGGGGAGGTCCGTGACCTCCCCTCCTCCCAGCATATCCCCTCGCCCTACCGCGAACCGCCCAACTGCATGGTAGCAGATTTGCGCGGCAGCAACTTGTGTTCACTGCGCAAATCACTACGCTGCCTTGTTAGCTCGGGTCGGACGAAGAAGGGGGTAGTAAGGGGTGGGGGGACCCGCCAGTCGGAGTAAGTAGGTGGAAGCACGAAGTAGGAAGGCGGATAAAGTAGATTGGATTCGGGCCCGCCCTAAGGATAGCCGTTGACAACAAAACCATATCGAATGCTGCGTAGGAGGGCGCGTGAAATAGACTGGGATCTGGGCAGCCAAAAATGCCTACTTTCAGCGACTGGCGCGGAACGGGTCCACTCACGTAGCTGCCTTCGCGGGCGCCTCCTGGCGCCGGAGACGACGGATGCTTCGAGGAGAGCGCCCGGCGGCGGGACCGAAACCGGCTGCCTGCCGCAGATGTCGCACCCCCCCTTTCCTTATCCACGCCAGAATAGGGAGCCCACAAAGGACGTACGCGCCCAGCTATGTACATGAACACGGCCCCTCGATTCGCGAGACTGGCCGCGTTATACGAACATTTGTGCAATGCGTGCTCTCGAAACCAGCGTGGATTCATGTACATGTACGTCCTTCTTTCGCTCCTGATAGAATTAAGCCCCATTGGGGGGCTGCTACGTCGGATTAGGCCGCGGATAGAGCGGAGCGGGATTGAGCGGGATGAAGCGGGATTGAGCCGGAGAAAACGGGATCGAGCCAGATTGAACCAGATTTCAAAAACCAGGGCAGAGTCAGAATTTGACCTCCCAGGAACTGCATCCGAGCGACAAGGATGCAAGCCCCTGAAGCGCCCACGTCGAACCTTTTTCGAGCGCGGCGGGGCCATTCGAAAGTGGTCAAGGTTGGACCCAAGAGGCACGGACGCAAGGAATCCCTTGGGAAGGTGTCGACCCATCCTTACCATCGGTTTCGACTGCAGCTTGCACCAAGCTTCCCTCAACGCATCTCCTCAAAATAGTCAGGGCCCTAGTTGGGGTCGCGCTGGGCTCATGGACTCCTTTTCATCCTGCTGTTCTGTCTCCTTATCCTTCCCCGCCACAGAAAAATTGCATCGCCTCGGCGGCCAGTTGTGTGCTCAAGATCAGATGGATGAGAAGATCACTTCGCGAGCCAACTGTCACCAACGGACCCTCCTCGTGAAAGCTGTGAAGAGGCCTCGAGACTCGACATCGGAGCGTCACCCTGGATTTTGATCTCTTGGGCATCCTAGTTACCTGCACGTGCGCACGGTCGCGGTCTTGACGGTGAATCCCTCGGCCTTTGGGCACCTCCAGCATGCACGCCACGGTTCTGTCTGGGGCTAGCTTCTGCTCCACAATCTCATCCAGGAGGAGCTCGAGCTTGGTCTTCTCCTCTGCAGCGCAACCGCCCCACCCCCCCTCCCAGCCATTCCGCCCAACCCCCCCTGCTGACGCATCTCTCCATCACTACATTGCGCTGCTCCTCTGCCGTCTCTCGCCCCCAACCCGAGGCCCCCAATTCCTGCTCCTCCTTTTGCTGATGGTGTGAAAACGCATTATATGACAAAGGAGATGAAGTGAACACGCGAAGTTGCAGGATCTGGTCGAGGGGACACGAGGGAGGGAAAGGCAGGACATGAAGAGGAAAGCATTGAGGGAGAAGGGGCAGGGAGGAGGAAAGGAAGCGAGCGAGGACCTCGTCCCAAACAACAACAACAACAACAACAACAACAACAACAACAACAACAACAACAACAACAACAACAACAACAACAACAACAACAACAATCATTTTACCCGAACGCATGGTGTTCTCCCCAGTGCCAGGGTTTTCATACGACACCAGGCAATACCCCCACTTCGTGGGGGGGCATTACAAGCTCTACCAAATATCCAAACGACTCTTCGCGACCACCCAAACCCAGCTTCCCGCCCTATGACGTTGGGACACTTCACTTCGTGGCGTGCGGACGACCGTGGCTACTACACTGGCGTGGGGTACACACCCACAGAACTTGGTCACTTATTCGGGGCGCGCATGTGCCCAGCATGGTGCAATTGTGCCATACAATACATAATACAGAGAGACGAATGTGTCCCGCATGGTATTATTTGACAGGGATGATGGCCCTGGCAGGTGCGCAACCGTTGTCGCAGAAGTTCGAAAAAGTTGCTCGCAAAAGCCCGTTTGACAGAAATGTTTAAAAAGTGTTGGGTTTCCTACGAATCCGCAAGAGCGCGCGGGATGAGATTTTGACATTTTTTTGTTGAAAAACCATTGGTTTTTTGATGTTTTTATGTTAAAATCGCTCCGAACACTAAGCTTTTGGAAGGATTTCGTCTTGCGCGCGCGAATGTCCACTTTACCTTATTTTTTGCAAGGGATTCTTGAAATTTGATTATATTAGAACAAGAAATGTCATTTTATAGTGTTTTTTGCAAGGGAAAGCGGGGGGGAACAAAACAACCGGATCTTGATCACATCGAATTACCTGAGGCTTCCTCACGAAAATGATGAAAATGTAGCTGCGGCCTAGGCGGCGCAGGGGGGCCGTGCACCAGGGGTCCCAACAATAATTATTCTTTAGAATTAATAATGTTCAACAACAACAACAACAACAACAACAACAACAACAACAACCATTTTAAGGCTGTACGCTCTTACTTGCCCGCGAGTCATTCAACACGTATACCCTACACCCTCGATACCCGCCCTCTTCGTCTTCGATCACACCCCTTTCGGGGGATTATTTCTCTTTGCTGGGGCCGGCGGGCTTAGACGTACGGGCAAACCGGAACGGGCGGACAATCCTTCGGGGGCGTACATCTCTCTGCCCGCCATTGGAATTGGCGCGGGCCCTGCAAGAGGAGGAGGGGAAGAACGAGGGAGAGTGGGAGGAAGGGGAGGGGGAAGGACGAAGGAAGAGGGAAGATACCACGTTGTGAAGGCGTCCTTGGCGCGTGCGTGGTTCCTGAGCGCCGAAACGCAATTCCAGAATAATTTGTGAGGACGTCGCACGCGAGAGCGCAGTCCTGAGTACATTGCGAGGAAATCTCAGGCGGAAGCGGGGGCCCTGACTAAGTTGCGAGGAAGTCTCACGCGGGAACGCCGTTCCTGAGCAAATTGCACGGAAGTCTCAGGCGGGAGCGGGGGTCCTCACTAAATTGCGAGGAAGTCTCAAGCGGGAGCGCCGTTCCTGAGTCAACTGCGCGGAAATGTCAGGCAGGAGCGGGGGTCCTGAGTAAAGTTCGAAGAAGTCTCACGCGGGAGCGCCGTTCCCACGTAAATTGCACGGAAGTCTCAAGCGGGAGCGGGGGTCTTGATTACATTGCGAGGAAGTCTCAGACGGGAGCGCCTTTCCTGAGTAAATGGTGCGGAAGTCTCAGGCGGGAGCGGGGGTCCTGAGTAAAAACCGAAGAAGTCTCAGGCGGGAGCCATTGTTGTTGTAGCCCGGGGGGCAGGGGCACAGTTTGAGCAGGAAGACTTTCCTTGAGAAAAAAACAAGGTGCGAGCCCCGGGGGTGGCACTTCAATTGAAAAAATCAATGTGCACCGGTGGGGGAGGATCAACAATAATTATTCTTCAAGAATGAGAGAACAACAACAACAACAACAACAACAACAACAACAACAACAACAACAACCACAACCACAACCACAACCACAACCACAACCACAACCACAACCACAACCACAGCAACAACTACAAGGCAAAACAACAACAAGGCAAAACAACCGGCTGGCTGGTGGACCCGGTGAGGGTCCACCAGCTCGCTGTTTCGCTCCTTGTGGCGAAACATTTCTCACTGGTGGACCCGGAACCCCCCCGGCAACGCAACGCAACGCAACGCAATATATGGTTGGCAACAGAAACCAAAGGAAGCCGTTGGAAAATCCTCTGGAATCCTTCAGGATCCTTAAGAAAGCCGACGCATTCCCACGAGCTGAAACTATGTGCGCTCCCCCGAGCCGAAAATGCTACAGAATCCTAGAGGGATGCTATAGAATCCCTAAGGGAAGGCTGCAAACCCCTAAGGGCTGCTATAGAATCCCTAAGGGCTGCTATAGAATCCCTGCAGGATGCTATAGAATCCCTAGCGGCTGCTGCAGAATCCCTACGGGATGCTATGGAATCCTTGAGGGATGCTACAGAATCCCTAAGGGGAGGTTGCAGAACCCTACAGGATGCTACAGAATCCCTAGGGAGAGGCTGCAGAACCCCTAAGGGATGCTATAGAATCGCTAAGGGATGCTATAGAATCCCTAAGGGGAGGCTGCAGAACCCCTGAAGGATGCTACAGAATCGCTAAGGGGAGGCTATAGAATCCCTAAGGGATGCTATTGAACCCCTAAGGAGAAGCTATAAAACCCCTAAGGGATGCCATAGAATCCCTAAGGGAAGGCTGCAGAGCCCCTAAGAGATGCTATAGACTCCCGGAGGGATGCAGGGATGCTATAGAATCCCTAACGGCTGCTACAGAATCCCTAAAGAATGCTATAGAATCCCTAGCGGCTGCTACAAAATCCATAAGGGGAGGCTGCAGAACCCCTGAAGGATGCTATAGAATCCCCACGGGGAGGCTGCAGAACCCCTAAGGGATGCTATAGAATCCCTGAGGGATGCTATAGAATCCCTAAAGGGAGGCTACAGAACCCCTAAAGGATGCTACAGAATCCCTAAGGGCTGCTATAGAATCCCTAAGGAGTGCTATTGAATCCCTAAGGGATGCTACAGAACCCCTAAGGGATGCTATAGAATCCCTAAGGGGATGCAATAGAATCCTTAAGGGATGCGATAGAATCCTAAGGGGATGGTGTAGCATCCCTAAGGGGACGCTGTAGAATCCTTCAATGGATGCTATAGAACCCCTACGGTCATGCTACAGAATCCTTAAGGGATGCTATAGAATCCCTAAGGGGAGGCTGCTAGCCCCTGAGGGATGCTATAGAATCCCTAAGGGCTGCTATGGTATCCCTAAGGGATGCTATAGAAACCCTGAGGGATGCTAAATAATCCTTAAGGGATGCCATAGAATCCCTAAGGGCTGAGAATCCTTACGGGGATACGATGAAATCCCTCGGGGATGCTATTGAATCCTAATAATTTAGGCAATCGAAATAACAGTAGCAGCGAGAGAGGTAGGAGTAGGGCAATAGTATTCGTCATGGGAGTAGTCGTAGTCGTACTCTTACTCGTAGCAATAGTGAGAAGTATTAGTAGTAGTAGTAGTAGTAGTAGTAGTAGTAGTAGTAGTAGTAGTAGTAGTAGTAGTAGTAGTAGTAGTCTTAGCAGCGGTAATGGTAATAGCGTTGGTAATAATGACAGTGGCAGTGGCAATAATATTGGTAATCAGAGGAGTATGAGTAGCAGTAGCAGGAGTAGCACGAGTAGCCGTAGGAGGAATAGAAGTCGCGGTAGTTGTGACACAAGTAGCCATCGTCTTAGTAATAACAATAGTCGTCGTACTAATCGTCATAATGGTGTCAGCAGTACGAGTAAGAACCGTAGTAATAAGAGTGGTAGTAATAGTAGTAGCGCTGGCAATAATGATAAAAATGAGAATGCTCGTAATCGGAATATAATGGAAATTGTGGTACTAGTGGTAGAAGTAATAATAGTCCACCTCCTCCTCCTCTTCCTCCCCCCTGCTCCTCCTCTTCCTGCCCCTCCTCCGGTGTTCGGTTGCCGTGGGGCCCACAGCTGTTTTTCGGCGGCCCGTGGGCCCAGGAGCGGCGTCCAGAAAACAATTAGCCTGGCGAAGAACCCAACCATATGCAGTAGTGGATACCGCAACTGTGTATTTCGTCTTCGGTGGAGCTCCCTGTGGGGCCACGATCCTCGTGAGGGGTGTGCCGAAATGGGGCGGGGCCGCCATGCGAACCCTGCCACTGAGGCCTTCGGTAGAGCTCCCTGTGGGGCCACGATCCTCGTGAGGGGTGTGCCGAAATGTGGCGGGGCCGCCATGCGAACCCTGCCACTGAGGCCTTCGGTGGAGCTCCCTATGGGGCCACGATCCTCGTGAGGGGTGTGCCGAAATGGGGCGGGGCCGCCATGCGAACGCAGCCACTGGGGCCTTCGGTGGAGCTCCCTATGGGGCCACGAACCGTGTGAGGGGTGCGCCAGAATGGGGCGGGGTCGCCATGCGAACGCAGCCACTGGGCCTTCGGTGGAGCTCCCTATGGGGCCACGATCCTCGTGAGGGGTGCGCCGAAATGGGGCGGGGCCGCCATGCGAACGCAGCCACTGGGGCCTTCGGTGGAGCTCCCTATGGGGCCACGAACCGTGTGAGGGGTGCGCCAGAATGGGGCGGGGCCGCCATGCGAACGCAGCCACTGGGGCCTTCGGTGGAGCTCCCTATGGGGCCACGATCCTCGTGAGGGGTGCGCCGAAA